ATGCAACTACAACACGGACCTGTCCACCGATTAGCATTGGGAGCGGTTCCATTTTCAACTGTCAAGCAAGGTCCTTGTGCGACCATTGGATTCAGCATCCCGGTTGTTCCAGGGCCGCCGCCGATCGTAAGACTATGTATGTGATTCTCAGAGAAACGGGAAACAATGGAGGATCAATACGCACATTACGGGAGCATTCTCGGCATCATGTTCCGCTTCGAAATACCTGAATGGCTCGGAAAAATAAGCCAACTCAGAGGGAAATGGCTTTTCCTTACCAAAAGAAAGAGCGCTTTGGCGTAGCCTCGCTATCTCCCCGTAGTCCGATATAGCCTGAATGAGATATCGAAGGACCTCGTGTAGCAGGACAGATGTCTTTTGGGCTAGCTATATTCGTATAGAATGAGGTCGGATTTGAGTGGGCAGAGGGCCAATTTCTCCATGAATACAGGACCCAGGAAACCCACAGAGCGCATCCCACAAGCCAGCTCCAATTCAACGTCCTGCGACTGGAATTGTCAGAGCCAAGTTCGGATCCCGAGTGCCGCCGATTAGGAAGGAGGGTCGAATTCAATCGAGGGTTCCTCATTCGAAAGTTACCACGTCGGTAGGTGGTGCTCTTAGGTTGCGGTCCGCCGGTCCCGCTAGAGTTAGTCATCGCTTGATCGCCGGCGCATCATCTGCTGTCTGTTCTGATCCGTCAGGCGTGCCGCCTGTCGGACAACTGTCGGAGATCGAAGAAAGATCACGGAACCACTTCAACAACGATTCAAAGTTCCATGGTCCAGCGCTTTAAAAAAATTGCGTTCAATCAGATTTCAACGACCTCCCCGTTCCAAGCACATATGTTCATTATTTTGAATTACAGCTCGCTGCTCACGTTTTGTAGATTGCAGGACTGTCAGGATGCTTGAGTTGCTCCTCCAGAAAGCTCCGTTATTCGGTGAAACTGGCCTTCCCTCACGCTCCTTTGCGCCGCGATGAAGACCCTGGCAGGCTTCAGTACTGCGAGGAGGTGAACGCGATCGTTTTGCACATTTTCGCTAAATGTCACTCCCCGGCTCCTGTCCTTTTTAGTTACAGGCGAGGCGGCTGGTTCAGCAAGCCCGCCCTCCCTGCGCTTATCGAGGGCTTCCATGGGCTCCCATTCGAGAATATCTTCGTTTGTAATCCAGCAGAGAGGTACCACGGCTTCGCCTCCTGCGCCAACTTCTTCAACCGTAGGCTCCACCCCTGCGTTCGCCCCGTGGAACTCGCCGAGAATCCCGACATAATCGGTGCAGCGTGTGAGTCGAAGCTCTACACCCTTGCCACGAGCGTGAAAGAGCGTGAAAGAGCGGGACACTCTCTGGTTCGAGGGCCCACCGTACTCGTTGCGATATGCTAAGCCACGACGAGCTTGTGCCGCAGTTCCTCGACGGTTATATCAGGGCTACCGGTTTACGAGCTTGGCACTCCCTGGGTCGTACTTCTGCCAGTCGCCTGTGACACTCGAGCAGCCGAGCAGCACCGACCCGTATTTCCATTTCCCTTTCTCAGCGCTGTGAGCGCGCGCCTGCTCATCTTCATTCAGCTCGCGCATCGGGCTGTTCTGCTTTATCGCAATCGGCATCAGGAAGCTTTCGACGGTGACGGAAGGGCAATGCGTGGAGCGGGGGGACGAGCTCGGCAAGGTCCACTTTGGTTGCTGGTCGCGTGCGCTGGTGTTCCGCTCCGAAACCAAGATCCAGTTCTTCGACGAAGTCGATGATGTCAGAGTTCGCGCGGCGATTAGCGTTGTACTATCTTGACTGGAAGGGGATTTATTTAGCCAGACGAAGCCAAAATCATGGTGAGTGCGTGAAGAAACCCGTCCATGGGCATGCGCTTGGGCGAAATACTGCGGGCTGAGTAGTTTATCTTCTTTCAGGTATATCTTTTTAATTTGGATTTTTGTCAACGTTCAAGTGACGGGCTGTAAGCATTGACTGAATTTATTCAGGGTGTCTGGTTGTTAGTCCCCATACAAGGAAGCGAAATGAAATTGTACAATCCTATACTTAAGTTTGACTACTTTCGTAGAGCGACTTTGGCTGCGAAGAATTCCGACCACTCCTTTTCGCCCCACGAGCTGGAGATCTCGTTGGCGACGAGGCCGTCCCACAACACCGTGGGCGACACGTGGATGCCGTTCTGGCGGGAGAATTTGACTACCCGCCTTAAGCTCCATCGAAGAAGTAGGCAGATAAATATCACGTACTGGTGTACTTGAGGTCATCTGTGACCGCGTTTCCGCCGTTGGGGCTGCTCTTGAGCACAAGGAGGTCCGCGAAATTGCTGGTCGCGCTCGCAGGAATGACCTCCGCCGCAAGGGCCGCCAATTTCTCGCGGATTTGGAGCGGGGTGAGCGTCGAAGTCGGTATGTCGAAGTACTCGCCTTGGCGTTTGAACAAGGCGAGGGAGAACGGCCAGAAGGACTCTGGGGAAGACCGCGCAACCTGGAGCAGGTGTTTGAATAACAGATCTGGCAGCAGGGAACGAAAGACGAACCGCGAGTCCGGCCTCATGCACGAACGTGGAGGAGGCGTGCCAGGGCTGAACCTGAGGTCTGAAGATTGCCTTCACTTTGCCATGATACTTTCCTCCAGGCCCAAGCAATGGAACCAGGACACTATCGATAGCGAGCGAGATCTTGGCACTAGAGTTTTATGATTAGATATCCATAGAATGATACTCTGGCGACTAATAATTACCTGAAGGGACAGACATAGTCCACTGAAGAACTATCAGCACTATACTTCGTCTATCTGTGCTCACTCACGGAAAATATCAAGAGTGTGCGGTGCATCGAAAGTTCCAGCAATGACTAAAGGGCGAAGACTGGGTTGGAGGGCCATGGAACCCGAGTGATAGCCTTCGATTGTACAGGGGAGAGAAATGTAACGTAAACGATGTGTAGGCGAGAGCGAAGCCTGGACTGCTTAGTCATCCCCAATTCTCTTCCTCTCGCCCACCACCTCGCGCGTCGCGTCGCGTGCCTTCATAGCATCGGACTGGTCCTATTGTATTTCTAACGTTATTCAGCAAAATGCCTATGGACTTTTCCACCTTTTTGACCCAGATTAACGACGCCTTGAATGCTGAAAACGGACCCAATTTGGCATATCTTCTGCGTCCGACAAGCCCCCATGGAAAGGACCTTGTGAAGGGGTTCCGCTCACCCACGGTGAGCAGCTCGCTGTGCCGCATTAGACCCTGTTTTCGACGCGTTCCAGGCTGCGACACTCGCACACTTCAAGGGAAGCATAATGAGTCCCTGGGATGAAATTGCAATCCAGTATGTTCTAATATGCACCCATATCGCGCGCCTGCGGCCAGGGGAGGCCTTCAAAGAGCAATCCCAGCTCGTTTCGTACGTCGTGCATGTCTGTAGCGATCCTCCTGAATTCATGACCCCCGCGCCAGTTTGTTCTTCCGATTTTTCATTGATAACAGAGGCTGGACGTTGCCCGCGCTCTTTTCCATCCTGCGGGACCTGCGGGATCTAGCCCACGACGTACTTGTCTCCCCCCTCGGTCGTTCGTATTCTGACGTGCTTCAAGGCCGACTGGCATGCAAAAGTGCATAGCGAGCAGAGTGAATGCATGGTGGAGGCGGCGCGGATTGTGGCAAAGGCGTTCTCGAACTGTATGACCGACAGGTGTGTTATCCAGTCCCGCCCGACACTGCCGACTGAAGACGTCAGGAAGGAATTCACCTGTAGAGGAATCGCGGAAATGGGGCATTTACTACGTCGTCGGTCTCGCAATGAAGAGCTATTTCAAAGTGCGCCGCTTTCTTTTGCTCGCTAAGTACTCACCGCCCGCAGGTGAAACGAATATCCTTGACCAAAAACATCATCAAAGTGCTGGAAAATACCTCCGACATTCCTGCACTGGAGCTTTACCCGCGGTCCCACCAAGTACCTCCGCCGCTCTCCCTGCTCCTTGAAGGCTAACGCGCGCAAGGTCACCTACCGGTACTACTTGGGCATGCTGAGTTTCCTGAACGAGGAATACGTCAAGGTGCGTCGCTGCATCCTGTCCTGAAGCCCCATCTCACAACAGACGCAAGGCGGAGCAGGAGCTCACCCTCGCGTTCTACCACTGCCACATCGGCGCGCACGATAACCAAATGTTCGTCGTCGCCCCTCCTCCACGTAGAGCGATTGGTCTGACCACGCGCAGGCGCATCCTCGCGTACCTCATCCCGCTGCGGATCCTCCGCGGGCATCTCCCGTCGGACGAGCTAATGCGCCGCTTCCCCATCCTGGCGGACGTCTTCGCGCCCTTCGTCACCGCCATCCACACGGGCGACATCGCCGCCTTCGACCGTGCACTCGCGCACCGCGAGGCGCGCCTCATCGAGCTCAACCTCCTACTCACCCTCGAGAAGGCGCGCGAGCTCTGCCTGCGCGGCCTCTTCCGCCGCGTGTCAGTCACAGTCCCCGCCTCCCCCGCCACTTGCATTCGCTGACTCCACCTTACCTTAGCTGGGTCGCGTCAGCGAAGGGGACGCGCATCCCGCTGTCGATGTTCCACTGCGCACTACGGATATCCGGGATCGATGTGGAGATCGAGGAGGCCGAGTGCCTGGTCGCGAACATGGTGTACAAGGGCTTCATGCGCGGGTACATCAGCCACGAGAAGCAGATGGTGGTGCTCGCCTCGACCAACGCGTTCCCGCGCCTTGCTGACCGGCCGTCGCCATTCGCCTTCATGTAGTTGCTTGAATGCATGGATCTCATTCTCGCATTTTGCGAGTCACTTTAGCGCGATTGGCTGCTGTACTGCCACTGACGCGGCAGCAAAATTCTCGTTGGGAATTTTATTTTGATTCCGAACCGCGAGGCGCCGATTCCTCTCTTACTCGGAGTTCTCCATAACAACGCTTTAGTATTTTCTGACTCGCAGAGGCATCTCGGATTCCAGGAGGGACTCCCTGGTAGACATACATCCAGAATATGGTCAGAGGTGTTATGGGACACTATAGATCAGCGGGTAGATCGCCTGCCACTTGTTATTTGTTCTTTGAATAATTTTCAGGGGCGGGAGGCCGTGGGTTCGAATCCCCGTAGTGGTAACTCGTCATTCGCGTTGAGACTTCAGTCGCACGCGTCGGTCGCTCTTCGAGGATGATGTGGTTATAAGGAGGTGGTAATTTTTGTTTTTTGAGTTGGCTCGGTTTCGTCAAGAAGTGGCCACGATGGGCAAAGAGGATTTTGTTGAAATTGCCCATCTGCGCGCCTGACTACCGACTATTCACAGAATGCATGCACCAAGGTCGTAACAACTCTACCAGAGGCGCCTAAACCGACGGCGCGGCAGACATCACGGCAGATGCCAGACAACAAAGTTAGCCGCGAATTGAACGCGATCACGTGTCCGTCAAATCAACCAGACAGTAGACTTTCCGAGTCCCTCCGTGAGGACAGAAAGAACGTGAATACTAGCACTGTGCAATAACATTTTCAGAGCTAAACGAACGGCACATTCTCCACCCAGTGCTCCACAATTGATTTAACCAGTGCCGGCTGGTCTCGGGCAACCTGAATTTTTGTTTCGTCAACATACTTTCGCGGAGATTTAATCAAAGAGGAACGCACGAAATGGCCGCCCTGGGCAACCAAAATGTATGTCATGTTTCCTGCGCCTTCCCCGACGACGCGCACGGTTGCATCTTCGGCCGTCGGCCACGGAACATCAGGAGTGCGTAGGAACTTGTCCTGGAAGGGGGATTGCACAAGGTTTAGCTGGATGGAAGGTGAGTAACTTATCACATATAGTCAATTGGTCGGAAACACGTACGAAAGATATAACGCCGGGCCACGCGCAGTTGGCATCCTGGGCTCCGACATAGTCTGATCCCAGTCAGCCATTAGAGGGACGCACACAACCTATTCACTCACGCAAGAGCCGAATTCCAGCGCTGAGGAGGGGCCCATACAACAAGTGCGCGGGGAGAATTCTGTCAATTATTATCTTAGAAAGAGCGAGAGCGAGAGTGTCCGATAATTCTCACATGTCCCCGTACTTCTGAAACTCGTCCGTGACCTCGCTTCTGACGCTGGTGAAATTGATGTGTTCTGGAATACCCAACGCCTCTGTGACGTCAGAGCGGCGGAAGAAGGCATCTGTCAGTGCAAACGACGGTGGGAGGCACCCCATGGGCTCTTTGGAGTAACACTGCACATGCAGGAAGGAAAACACTCAGTGTTGGGCACCGGATTTATAACTTACTAAAGCTACTTGCCTTGCGACGAACATCCTCGACGACGGTGCCATGGGTGTCCCCGGCCTCGAGGGGGGTGCATATCGCCTGCGCTGCCAAGCGCCTTTCAACCGACCCCGATCCTTGTCGGGCCAATTGGATGCTGTCGAGACAAGCCGGGAGTTGTTCGAACATTTCTGCGCAGGTTGTCGCATTATACATGTCGGCGAGGTAGCACCGCATTTGGAGCAGCCAAGTGAAGTGGGATGTCGCATCCTGCGCTTTTATTCACAAAAAAAAAAAAGGCAGAATATCGCGGACTTACAGAGATGGGATTGCTGACCATCATTGACTCCAAATTGATGTGAATGGCACCGGGTTGACCCTTTCCAGCGGCGAGAGCGAGATTCTGCTCGTGGATCACAGTTGCGATGTTGGGAACATACATCCCGCCGTACGAACCGCCGGAAATAATGAATTGGTTTCTAGGGGCTATCAGGATTAACAAAACCTTCAGAAGAAGACACGGACTGGACAAGATCGGGGAAAAGACGGAAGAATTTTTGGAGAAAATCGTAGACATCTATAGCGGCGCTCCGGCTATTGTTGACCATGGTTCCATATGAGAAACCAACACCGACAGGCTAAATCCGAAAATTGTCAGGGAATTCCAACGACAGATGACCAGTGGCGTACATGATCCAGAGCTATTAGATTGAAATGCTCTAAAAACCGAATTAATTGAGATGCCCGTGAAATAATGGCCACAGCACCAACCTGTCCACCGATTAGGGTTAGGAACGGCTCCATTTTCAGCCACTACGCATGGGCCTTGTGCGGACATTGGGTTCAGCATGCCGCTGGTCCCGGGTCCGCCGCCGATTGTGAGGCTAGAGTGAAGTTGAGGTCAAAGAAGGCAGGGGAATGAATACACAAATGCGCACATTATCGGCGCCTTTTGGGCGTCATGCTCTGCTTCGAAGTACCTGAAAGAGGTGAGATAATGTGGGAAGGAGATATTGATAATTTGTCTCACCAGAAGAAGGAGCGCTTGGGCGTAGCCTCGCTATCTCCCCGTAGCCCGATATAACCCGAGTGAGATATCGAAGGACCTTGAGCCGCAGGGCAGATGTTCTTCGGGCTTGTGATATTGGTGAAAAATGAGTCTGCACGCGATTGCACAGAATTCCAGTTTCGCCATGAATATAGAACCCAGGCCATCCCCAAAGCGCACCCGACAAGCCACCGTGTACGCGTCGAACTCTGCCGAATCCGGCCCGGGTCCCCACGAGCGGAAAGGTCAGAAACACCGAGTTGCTGCCTCGGAAGGAGAGGCAACTTTGAGGCAGTAGTGTCCCGCATTCCAAAGAGTCAAGCTCTGAGAGCAGGTCTTGCTTGCTTCTTAACTTGACTTGATAGCTGCGCAAGAGCTGCCGCAGTGGCATCAGATGAAGTTGGGGATCTGCGCCATCAGATGGCGGCTTTGGGCTGCCAAAATGGCTTCCTTGCCGATTTTCTTGTCGGTAATCTGGCTGGACCTCGCAATTGAATTCGAACAGGTGGCCCGCGCCGTGTAGAAGTTGAGCGACAATTCTGGAGATGGCAAGAGAAAGAATCCTATTTATGTCACACTCTGGCATTCTGCTTCGAACTCTTACGTTTGGGTCAAGCCTGAGAAGAAAGAGGGACATCGTGGTTTGTTCGCGCGTACGCGACCTTGTTCCATTTAATGTAGAACAAGTTTGACGAGGGAAAAAAAAATCTACAGAGTTTCAGGTTAACGGCGGAACACTGTACGTAACATTCGTTGTATTTCGTAGGTGCCCATCCTCCTGTGAGACGAAATTAGTGACTACTGTATATCGCGATACTCAGTTGAATACCCGTACAAAGGCTAAACCCAACTCCTCTTAGCAGGGCCGATATGGATTTTCATTCCTCTTTCAGCGAGGCCTCGCAGTGCAGCGACCACAGAACTCTCGCCCACCGACCCGAGGTACCCTGAAGGCCAAATCATCCGGAACGTGTGGAGCTTTGCTATTTCATCACCGTGACTAACACTGCTTCTGGACGACAGCGCCTGTAATAGAGATGTGTTGACTTTGAAAGGACACCCCAGAAATGTAACTGATTGGAGGTGTGGAAGGAAGCTAGAATCTTGGGTGCGGTCCAGTGTTGAGAAGAACGCTGAAATGAAGTGGTGCGGCGGAGCCCAGACCTCGATGGCTTCGAGATGCGACATGGTGAAAAACCAAGCTATGGGGGGTGCCAAAACTTCCTCGGCGGTGGAAAATCTTCGCAGTGACCCGGACGAGTAAGATAGGAATTCGTCATCACCAAGGTAATCATAAACTGAGAGGTGAAGATTTTGCAGCGAAGGCAGTCGAAGCGATCGAATGACATAGCTGGAGCTGTTACGCATGAGGCGAAGACTCTGGAGATGTTCATGTGTTATGACCTGCGCCAGATTTAGGTGCACATAGTCGATGGAACCCTCGAATTCTATGAGGAATGGGGCATCACGAATGAGATTCAAAAACTCGTTTCCATTGAGACTCCGACAAGTCAATTTGGCTAGCTGCCTCCAAGGAACGCAAAGCATTACCGGAGACAGATGCATGCTGACATGAATTTCCGTCAGCCGTCCTGCATCGCGGAAATAGCCCGATAGGTCGAGTGGCTGAGTTGGGGAACTCTCTGCCAAAGGGAGCCCAATGATGAGTTTCTCGAGAAGTGGGAATCGTCCAAAGATCTTCGAGACATGTTCGAGTTCTTCAAGTCGAAGCTGCAATGCTATTTTCTGAAGTCGGGGAGCATGCCAGAAAAGGGCTGCGCTGAGGGAGGCCGCCTGTGATTCGCTCGCTCTGCTGCTTCGAACACTGAAGGACAGTGGAAAAGAGCCAGCCCGACTGAACCATTCTTCGATAAATGCCTCGAGCTTAGGGGAGAAGCAAATATCCCTGGGGACGTTCGCGAGATTCAAATGAAGATGAACCCATAACTGAGGAGTCGAGGTTGCGATGGATCTCCATTCCCTGCAGATATGTAGCAGAAGGAGAGGGGCCTGCGCTGTATCGGGACCTGCTTTCACCTCGTCTTCATCGTTCGGTAAAGGAGGAAGGCATTGCATGAAATTTCGGAGGCGATTTCTTCGGGAAGGGATAAGACTGGGTAAATGATGCAATCTAGCTCGTGCTGAATGCCCGCCCGGACAACCTCGAGCTCTTGTAAGCGTAGTTTGTGCTCAGAAATCGAGGCATCGACTTTGGCCAGGCGCGCGCGTAGGTCGGCATTCACAGCAGACATGTGGTGGAACGAAAGATGCCCGGGGGATTGGGTCGGAGCTTTTCGGCCGATCAGGAATGAGAGAATTTTATATTGAAAAGAGATGAAAAAGATATAAGCATGCTAATGTACACTATCTTGCAGAAGTCTAAAGTATGAAGCCCCTTGATGCCCATGGATCACCTCCATTCCCACAACCCCCACCCGCCCCACGTCGCCGCCCAAGAAAACATCAAAACCAGACGAGAAGGCAGCCACACACGGCACCAGCAAGAGTACATACACACGCGCGTCCACGTCGTAGCATCTTGCGGGGGCCGTGTGCGGCTGCGATAGCGTGGCGTGTCGGCGGTCCAGGCGTCCCCGATCCGGCGGCACGTCGCGCGATCCCCTTCTCGTCTGGTGCTGGTGTTCTCCCCGGTGACGACGTGGAGCGGGTGGAAGGAGACGCGGTAGGGGGTGGGCGGGTAGAGGGGCGGGGACGGGGTCGGAATCATGCGGTGGGAGCGTCGAGGCGAGTGGAGAGCCGGACAAGGAGGGGGAGTCGTGAGGCGCGAGTAGCGGCGCTAGGCTTGATACCGAGGCGG